AATATTTTATTAAAGAAAACCAAAAATAATTTCCCAAAATATAAATGCAATTAAAAAAAATTCTTCTTTTTAAAACAACAACATCTAAACATTAGAAGAAAATTAAATTGAAAAAAAAAAATTGGCAAAAAGGAAGTGTGGAATATTCCATTGCCCTCTTCTAGTCACGTCGAAGTTAGCCTCCGAAATCGATATATAGGCGTTCGAAGCTCGAAATAGGACCTTTATTATTTTTTAATTATTGTATGTAAATAACTAACAATGTAAAATAATAGACGTAGTCCGCCTTTTGCTCTTATTTAAACGATATATCGTCGGTGATACTGCAAAACGGTCTAAGTCTATTAGTGCCCTTGACACTTAGATGGTCTCTTACTTGCACCGGTATGCATCTGCAAGTCGTTACACTCTAATAAACGAAAGAGAAAACAGTCTAGCTTTGGCTGATGAAGATGAACGACTGCCAGAAGCGATCAGGTACAGATAACAGATCAACTAAGCACCAGAGGTAATAAGTGACATAGAACGTTTTGCAGTATCATCGACGATATGTATGTATGTATAACTTTTTTTGTGCAAAGTTAAAATACAGGTGCTATAACCTTATGCTTCAAACAATTTTGAACTGATTTTTAATTAATTGGTATCGTAAATAGTAAACGTTATTATAAAAATTTGAGAAAAATTACTTAAGAGGAAAAAACACCCATTTAAAGAATTTTGTTTTTCTATTTTTGTCGTTGTAAAATTATTCACTTTATCCTTAAGCATAGTATTATGATCCTGATAAATATTACAAAACTAAGACAAATCCATAACATAAAATTTACAGGCTTTGTTATTGGGATCAAATTTAAATATAAACATGAATAGTGGTGGAAAAGATAATGACACGACACCATCAAGTATTGGCTATTTTTCTTTTCTTTATTAAATGTTTATTTTTTTTACCATATAAAACCAATTTTTAAATTTTATGCCTAAATTATGATTATTCTTCGCAGTTTCATCTAAATTATAGTTTTACTATATGGGTTGCATTTTTAGACTTAAAACTTGAAAAATGCTTTAGTGGATTTTCATTTTGAACCGATCCGAACCATTTTTTGGAGTGATTTTCGGTTCGGTTTTGGCATTTCAAAATAAAAAAAAAACCGTTCAGTTCATGGTTCGGTTCGAAGCCCGAAAAAGGCGGCGGTTCGGTTCAAAACTGGTTTGCAACCCTGCTATTATCATCATATGATTGGTTCGAACACTCCAAGAGAATGGCTCGTTTTTAATAGTTTGATAAATATTTTAGTAAGTGAACTAATGTTAGTACATTACGGTATACGCAACAAATATGACTGCAGAGGAATAAAGAAATTTTAATAGCGACCGCTGCGTGCTACCATTCCGCAGGGCCAACATCAAAAAATGAAATAAACAAAAAAAAATGGGTTTTTCTAATAGCGGTCGCCCCTCGGCAGGCAATATTGTGTGCACATCGAAAAAGTATCTTTGGCGTGTGTGTCTAGCTTTAGTTCAATTTCTAGCTTCTCTTTTAGTAATAAGCTAATAATTTAATAATAATAAATAATTTTTGAACTAAGTGAACTGCACGGAAAAAGTATGACTTCTAAGAGAAATGTAAGGTCTTTACATTCGTATTGGACGAAGGTAGAGGCGATTCCTTATGGTTGTCATACTAATTTTCTTATTCAGTAAAACCACACTCTATAACTAATATAGCTAGTCTTTGCTCTGTGGGGAACTGCATTGATGTTGCAAATAATTTTCTTCTTGAAGTCAATGAAATACGCAGGCACCCTGGAGAATTTTTTAGTACCATTTTTTAACAAAGAAATGAAACACCGTTGTGAACAGAATACTAACCTTTATACATATGTGCGACGCGGAAAAGATTTGCAAAATGAATAAACAGCCAATCAATTCGGGGGCTGTGAGATGCTACGACAACAACAACTTCTAAATGGTAGCCTATTTACAATCCAACGCACACAAAAACATTACAAAAACATTTATTAATCGATAGGGCACTATTGTTTATGTGGAAATAACACCTTTTTATCACTTTTGGTACATTTTCACATTTTTTCTCGTATTTTTAACAGAATTAATACTCGCGAAAACGGAAATTAACAAATAACTGTTCTAGGGCGCCAAAAAGTAAGCAAAGCACAGGCTTGCATTTGAGCTAAAAAAAGTTTTAAAACGGAAGTATGTTTTTGTTTGAATTTGTATATTATATATTCAAAAAAGTTAATTAAATTGTGTTACAAATATTTTCAAAACGTTAACAAGTGGACAACCATTAAGGTTTCATCTATTTAAATAATTAAAATTCCAAATAAAACGCTAATTCTTGCAATTGCTCTTTGATTCCTCCGAAATGCAGCGGCATTTCTGAAAGAATTTGTAAATTCAAGGCGATGTGGCAACATGCCGTAATCATATGTTTTTACTTACGGGTGCTGCCAGTGTGCAAAATTCCTTAACCATCAATTAAAAATAATTTCATTATTTTTCCATTTTTTGCATAAAACTTGATTTATTGTAATTGCAGATTCATTTAAAAGAAATATACTTTTATATCTAGCTTATTATACTCCCACTGAACACTAATGTAAATAATGCCCCAAAATATTTGATTGCTCCATCTTATCTGCTTTTCTGATTCAATGGGCAACACTACGCTTATCAGCTGATTGAAGCTGATTTATACAATGCGGTTGGTTCTGGTTCAATAAAGTTTTTCTCTCCAGTAAAAATAGTATAAAGTGCATATTATTAGTGGAAATATAAAGTTTTCAAGTGCGTCGCTGCCAACACCAATTGCATATAACAATAATGGACGTCGACAAAACATTGCTGAACCCAAACAATGATCACAAATCAGATATAAAAACGCCTTTTCTGATTGGAGTGGCGGGTGGAACAGCTAGTGGAAAGGTAAGTGCACATAGTAAAGTGGGTGGTGCGAATGGTGGCACAAAATGTTTAGTTTGCAAATGTTAATAAAAGAATAGTTGGGAAATATGCAATTGTGTATTAACACATCAATAAGCATAAATTGCGCATTGAATGAATGCTGCCGATAATCAGGTCCAGGCATAGGTTTGGTTCAAATCTTTGGATGCAAGGGTTTATTAGTGCAACCGAGCTTTTGTGGAATTCCGCAGTAGTGAAACAGTTAATCGTTTATAGTCAGTCATTAGTATAATGTAAGACCCTGCATACAATCTCGAAAGTCCTTTTACTATTCAGGCATTTGTATTTGAATTTTTTCTAGCTACTAATAATTGATTAATACCTTTATTTTTAGTCGACAGTATGTAAAAAGATAATGGAACAGCTGGGTCAAGCTGATATGGAGCAAGCGCAACGGCAGGTAATCACATATGTCAATACTCTTTAAGGAATATGGAAATCTTTATGGGATCAAAATTCTTCATTTTGTGTTTTTTTTACCGTCCTTAGGTGGTTACAATCAGCCAAGATAGCTTCTACCGCGAATTAACAGCAGCGGAAAAAATAAAAGCGCAAAAGGGCCTCTTCAATTTTGATCACCCGGATGCGTTCAATGAAAATTTGATGTATGACTCATTGCAGGATATATTAAAGGGCAAAATTGTTAAAGTGCCATGCTATGATTATCGCTCAAATTCGCTGTAAGTAAGACTTTAGTCTTTAAGCAATTAATTCACATAAAGCATTTTTAAAAAGTTAATTGAAAAAGTTCGAAGTTCGGTGTACTTACACAGTACATATCACATGAAAATACGCTGCAGCAAAATCCCGAATACATTTTCTATTTAAAGTATTATAACTTTAATAATGTAAAAAATGTTATTGCATAGTGTAAGTTATCTCTTCATCCATCTTAATTAGCAAATTCTCAACAGTCATACCACATTCCCTTCATACTCGAAATTATTTGCTTTCACTTGTCATGGTTGCCGGAAATGCTTAAAACAATTGAACAGCTTGGAAAATATCACACAAAAGCTAAGATGGGCTACATTGTACTCAATGCTTTATCGTTTTATTTAGTTTCCATGCGATTATAATATAATGGGCGCTTAGTTCATTGGCCGTCGTCTTACATTAACACGTAAATCTATATATTTAATCATTTTACTTCGCTTATGTCATATATGTATAAAGTTCCATACTGATTTACTTGATTGCAATAATACTGTTGCTGATTCGTTTCGACGACTTCGTAATAAATTTCCTAATGCTTATCGCTAAAGAAAAAGTTATGAATAATCTCTCCAATTCAATACCAACACCCCTCTCAGTAATATTAAATCAAATAAATAAGGCTATAATTGCTTATCTTCATTTCATAATACGCGCCTTTAATTTGTTTGTAAGTAAATTTTATCTATTTATTTACAGTGATCATGAAAACATGCTAACTATCTATCCGGCTGATGTGGTGCTTTTTGAAGGCATACTCGTTTTCTATTTTCCCAAAATTCGTGATCTCTTTCATATGAAACTATTTGTGGATACCGACTCTGATACACGTTTGGCGCGAAGAGGTAAGTGCATACATATCTATAAGGCAAATATTTTTCCCATTTGTCGTATAATTAATGTATACAATTTTTATTTATGTTATTACAGTACCGCGTGATATCAATGAACGCGGACGGGATTTAGACGCTGTACTAACACAGTATATGACTTTCGTTAAGCCGGCTTTTGAAGAATTTTGCTCCCCGGTAGGTGATAAAAAATACATTAAAATGTTCCTATGCCATCTGCAGTTATTTGCATTCTATTTTTTGTCCTATTTATAGACGAAAAAATTCGCAGATGTTATAATACCACGCGGCGCTGATAACACCGGTTCGTAGAGATTCATTCGCATATTCGTTTTATTGTTGTATTTATTGTTTCCTTATATTTGTCAAACAGTTAACAGTTGATAACAGCTATAATACTATTTGTATACTCTACTCTTTAAGTAGCATTTAGTTGCGCTTCTTTGGTTGTTGTTACTATGTTGATTTGCAGAGTTTTAGAGCAATAACTTAGTTACTTAGCTATTTTTTGCAAATTTCTAAGAGCTTAAATTAATCTATTTTCGAACTTACGTACATATGTATATATTTCTCAAGTACACAAAATGCAAAACAAAAACTCCTACACAACATTTTTCTAGGTTTGTATTTTACAACAAAGAAACAACATAAAATTCGCGCGCAAATAATTTCAAACTCAATTTTTGTATTGTTGCTGTTGCCTTATTATTTTTTT